TGCCTCTGCCTGGTGAGTCCTTTCCCCCACCCTCATTCCCCACTGAGGAAGGCCAGCATGTCATCCCCGTTCACCTCAGTTTTTCTTTTTGGTAGGTCAGTGAACAATTTCCTGGTAACAGGTCCCAAGGTAGGATGTCTTCCAGTCCCTCCTGTTTTTATCCCCCTCTTTTTTTTCCGGTGGGGGGTGGCTGTTGTGTGCTTTTGGGGGGGGGGGGGGTGGGGGGGGGGTGTTTCAGAATCTTTCACTGAGAAACCCAGCATTGTTTAGTTTTTGGTTGTTGTTTTGTGGTGTTCAGGGCCTTGTGTATGCTAGGCAAGTGCTCTGCCGCTGAGCAGTGTCCCCAGGCCCCAGTATGGTTTCTTACTGGGAAATTATTTTATTTGAGTCTGCCTTCTCCCTGACCTGACACAGCTTGGAAACAGGAAAGCTCACAGCCCTTCCCCCCTGACACAGGCCTATCTGACCTACACCACCAGTGTGGCCTTGGGCACTCAGACTGGCATGGAAGAATGTAAGTTCCAGTTTGCTTGGGGGGGGTGGAACTGCCCTGAACATGCTTTCCAGTTCTCCACTCACAACAGGGTGGGAGGGGGTAAGTTTTCATGTGACCACTCCACAAGGTGGCCTTGTAGTACAGGGGTATATGAAATGTGTGTTCACAGTGAAATGTGACAGTAACTGGCAAGCTCTTGACACACCGCTCTCCAGCTGTGTGACCCTGAGTGAGGTACTTTCCCTTTTTCAGCACAAGTGTGTGTGTGTGTGTGTGTGTGTGTGTGTGTGTGTGTGTTTGTACAACTTGGGGGAGTTTGTTCTCGACTTCTACCATGAGTTTAGGGTTGAACTCAGGTCATCAGAGACTTGGATGCTCATGCCCTGATCTGCTGAGCGATCTCCTCCCAGGCCCTGGGAGTTTTCTGAGGGTTGAATGAAGTAAACAGAGGGTTCTCCTTATAAATGCTATTGTAGGTTTTAGAGCATGTCTGCCTTTGTGTGCTTGTTCATAGTCACCTTGCTCAGATTTGCATGAAATGAAGTGAAAAATGGAGAAAGGCATCCATGGAGCCCTTGAAGGATTTATATTTGCCCCATTATTTTAAAATAAAACTGCAAGATCAGAATAAGTTTGCCTCAGGTGACTCTGTGTGTGTGTGTGTGTGTATGTGTGTGTTTGTGTGTGTGTGTGTGTGTGTGAGAGAGAGAGAGAGAGAGAGAGAGAGAGGTAGATTAGAGCACGCCTTTAATGCCAGCACTCAGTAGACAGAGGCAAATAGATCTCTGTTGAGTTCGAGAATAGCCTGGTCTACAGAGTGAGTTCCAGGACAGCCAGGGCTATTAAATAGAAACCCTGTCTTCAAAAGCCAGAAAGAAAAAAAGGGGGGAGGCAGATTATTTGGGATGGAAGAGTAATGAGGGAAGACAAATGTTTCCTCTCTATCTTCTGTCTATGTACATGAATACAAAGGGAGGGCTGCTTGAGAGTAGAGAGCACAGAGATGGGTTTTTGAGAAACTATTTATCCTAGTAAAACAGGATTAAAATTTCATTAATATTTCAGTTACCATAAATGCCTAGGTTATTTGATGAAATATTTATCAGCTTATACAAATTAGTCCTTGATATACCAGAACTGGTCAGAGAAAATTCAATTTTAATTTTGAATCTAAAACTTGGATTAGAAAAGAATCAATATAGTGCCTAATGAATGCTATTATCAGAACTTTGAACCAAATTCTTGGATCAAAAAATTGATTTTCATGCCAATATCCCCCAATTCTATTTGTCTGTTTCCTGGTTTTTTTGGTTTTGTTTTTAATTTTTGGGACAGGGTCTCATGTAGCCCAGACTGAGTCCCTGAACTGAACGCTCAGAGTGTATTTTGTAAGCGGCTCCAAGAACTGACAGGAGGAACAGAAAACTTCCAACTACACCCAGGCATGTGCCCAGACACCTGGCAACATCCCTAAGCTTGAACTTTCAAAGAAAATGCAAATCCTTTTTCACTACTCTGCATCAGTTACAGATGGCAGCATCCATGTTTTCTTCTTTTGAGTAGCTTCCCTTCCTCTTGCTTCTGCTGAACATTCAATGTCTGTATTTCTGAAGATAAATGCTTGTTATTATAGGCCAAATAATCCAAGTTTGCATTCTAAACCTTCCCTAATGGAACAGGACACTGTCACTCAGAGAGGGGACACTGGGTTTCCAGGCTACTAAAGATAGCACTTAACACAGATTTCAATCATTTCAGTAAGAGAATGAGTCACTAACAAATGGGTTCATAACGAATTTTTAATACTACATTCCTAGAGAGATGAGGATGGATGGATTCAGTGCACCTAGTACAAGTGACCCTCCTTCACATCCGATGCTGATGACCTTTCTTGGTGCCAGAGACTGGGTGCTTCTGAACACTAAGCATGTCTTCTACCACTAAAGGACACTCCCTTTCCACACTAATACTTTTAAAACAGAAGCATCAATTTTCTAAGTCTTTAGTAAAGGTATCCAAAGTCAGGTAGAATTTATTGAAACACCACATGGGTTCTTTCATAGAAGCCAAAAGTAGGATTCAAGAATTAAACTAATTTTCATTTCACATTCAAATACCTTTCTCAAATGATAACAGTCTCTTGATCTTAAACCATCCTATACCTCATATAATATAAAAAAGGCCTTTGCTTAATCTTTCCCAAAGTTCTGCTATTTAATTAAAAAAAAAAAAAGACTCATTCAATAAACAGGTGGGGCAGAAAAGGGCACCTTTCCAAGAATTCTTCCATGACCCAGAATACAAAGTTCTTTTTACAAAGAAAAAAGAAAGACTCACTGTAGTGATAAGCAAACTAGATGAATTTGGTTAACTGTCTCAGAGACAGACTATATAAAATCTCAGCAGCCTACAATAAGTAGGAAGCTTGGCACCCCCGCCACACACACACACACACACACACACACACACACAA